TGGGTTGGAGGAGGAGGGTTTGGAGAGAGGGATGGATTTGGGGTAGGGGGAGAGCTTGACAGGGGAGGGTTTGTGAAGCGAGAAGGTGAGTGTAAGGGTTTGGGGAAATGGGTGAGAAGAACTAGGTGGGGGATGAGAATGTGACAAGGATGCGTGAGGGAAGGTAGGAGGTGAGGGCAGCAGTCAAATGGATCCAGCTCATGGGTTTTCGTAAGTCAATGTTTCTTTCGTGGAAGCTGCCATCTTGGGTTCTGGAATCTGATCTTTCAAAATATTAAGCACTTAGCCATGGAGATTGTGAAAAAATCCTTGAAACTATGACTGGAGCATAAAGTGATGCAGCACTGATTACCTGAAGCAATGGCTCTTTGAGATGTGAGCTGCCATTATTCATCTCAGTGGGATATTAAATCTGAATTCTAATTAAAACTATTTAAATGCCAACATTGTTAAATATTTCAGTGCTGATCAAATCACACAAGAAGGTAGTAAAAAAATATTTCTATTAGGGTAACACTCAAAAGTCCCCATCAGAATTAGGGCTGCATTATGTTGGGCTCTGAATAAACGTAGAAAAGAGAAAGGAAAAGGGGAGTCTCACTTTGGCATCTCAAATGGGTTGAGCTTGGTTTGTAGAAGAGGTTGGCAGAGTGCAGTTTGACTCCCTGCATGAGGGGCTGCATGAGATGACTGATGGATGAGAGAATTCGGCTGAAGTTGGGGGTGGGTGAGTGAGAAGATGAGGTTGAGGGTGGATGAAAGAATGTGAGGAGAAGGCATGACGGGTGTTTGAGAGAGAAATAATGGCGCATCTAATATCATAGAGGAGAATAGAAACAAAGAGATTTTTTTTACTGGACCTTCCAAAGGCCCGATCCTTCTTCCACTGAAAACAGAAACAAAATTCTCCTTGATATCATTGGGAGCAGTCAGGCTCCTAGATGCTCAGGAGAGTGACAAAAACACATTTAAACTATTAGAAATTATAAGACTTTTCATCAAAAAGCAACAAAGGAAAACTTTATAACCCTAAGAGAAAGCAGAGATAGTGGCAGATTGGATAACACCCAGCCTCTCAATTAGAAATGGCCAGTCAGGACAAATGGTGAGATAGGATAAAACCCCAACTACAGTGAAGACCACTTCCAGGCAGAAGCATGTATCTCTGACAGAGACTCTGGCTTCCTGTCTCTTTTATGTTTTGACAAAACTGATATAGCATGTCATGCTAATAAAATACTATAGATTTATGGATTTTTCTTTTTTAAGTCCAGAAGGCACAATTATGATCAGCTGATCTGACCTGGATAGTACAGGCCACTGAATTTCATCCAAAAGTTCCTGCATTGAGCCCAATAATGTGTGGTTAAACTAGCTTTCTGAAAGAGTTATTAAACTGAAATTCTGTAAGTGTGGAGGATAACAAAAAGGACTCAGTTTTTATTGTAATATAAACATAATTACAGGACACAAAAAATAAATAGTCCAGATTCATCATAAACCAGGCTTTGGTTATAGTAATCTTAATGTATCATACATTCCAGTCACTTATCCTCAACAGAATTGGGAATTTGTCCCTTTACATCAGCATTTATTACTGATAATAGGCCCAATTCTCTGCTGTTTAGGGTGACCAGATAGCAAGTATGAGAAATTGAGGGACACTTTTTAATCGGGTCTGGGGGGGGTATAGTTGCATATATAAGACAAAGCCTCTAATATCAGGACGGTCCCAATAATATGAGAACATCTGGTCATCCTACCGCTGTTACACAGCTGTTAGGCAGCGGGGGGACGGGAAGCGTTGGGAGGAAAGGGGAGAAGCAGGGATGCGGCGCGCTGGGGGCGGGGGAGAAGGAGGCGGGAGCTTGGCTGCCGGTGGGTGCGGAGCACCTGCTAATTTTTCCCCGTGGGTGCTCCACACACCCCGGCAGCCAAGCTCCTCACTCCCTGGTATAGGGTTTTGAGGCACCTTCATGCCACGCCCTCTTACTTGGTGTAAAAGAGTTGGAATCGGTAAGGTTTTCACCTTTAGCTTCTATTCTCAGCTTTGCCACTGATGCAGTGTGTGCAAGTGTAAACCTTCTGCCAAGTCTTGTCAGTAGCAGCAAGGCCAGGTTCAATATCTGGGGGTTCTTAAAACTAGAAAAACAAAACTGTCTTGAACCCCCACCCAGAAACCTGGAAAAACTAAATACCCCTCCTGAGCTCCCCTAATAGGCAATACTTCCCCACGCACAAGTACTGTATAATACAAAGAAAACTTTTATTCAGGGAGGAGGGAATGCAGCATTAATTTGGAAAAACACAGCAACAATGACCGAGTATGCAAATAATAAGTAAAACACCCAACCATACAGTAGCTTTGAAAATGTCACAAGAACTACTAATTCTTAGCATGTCAGGCTTTAATGGCATAGCAGGAACTGCAGCAAATATCCAAAGGAATCATAGAGTGCCTTTTTTTGGATGTATACTGAAAGTCTGCAAGACACAGAAGATATGAAGTAACACACTTGGAGTGGAAATTGGATGGCTCAGGAAAATGGCCACCTTTCACCTCAAAGTTACTAGTCTGCATTCGGGCTGGGTAACCACAAAAAGTCATTAATCTCTGACAGCCATTCAGTGATATATGTGAAATGAGCCTGTAGTCTCGGTCCAGTTGCTAGCTGACAGGAGTTCATGTTACCAACACTAGCATAAGATAGTACAAATCGGCATCTTGGTTGGTAGCCTCAGCAAATGGGATGCATAAAGAATGAACAATACTCTCACCCCAAAAATATGATGTCATTACCCCTTTGGGCTGAGGCATTGCAGCATATGGTCTTCTAAGGGAAGATAGCAGAACAGTGTCACAGGCATGACTTAAAGCGTTTGACGTGATAAACTAATGAAACCTGTTTCAGAGTAGCAGCCGTGTTAGTCTGTATCCGCAAAAAGAACAGGAGTACTTGTGGCACCTTAGAGACTAACAAATTTATTAGAGCATAAGCTTTCGTGGACTACAGCCCACTTCTTCGGATGCATAACAATGCATAATGAAACATGGTAAAGTTAGGGATGGTTCTGTAGTTGGTAATTTGCATTTCATTGCAATTATGATCTAGGGCTGGGCCTCAATTATTTAAGAAGGATTCCCAATAACTCTCCTGGGAAGTCAGACTAAGTAAAAGTGTGGAGCCCAGTTCTGGAAATGGAATTTCCCCAACACTGATATTTTTGCCATGAGTGTGATTCTGGAGTACTGTCTTTCTTTTCCCGGTCTTGGAAAGTTTGAAAAGGCTTCTGAGGGAGACAACACATTGTTATTCAGTTATTCCTAATGTGCTCCTCAATATTTCCCATCTAGTTCTCCATGGCCAGAAGGAAGATTAACAAAGCATAGACTCTGAAGGAAGGAGGCAATATAACATTAGTAGAGGAAACGAAGGTGAATCCTCAGGATTCTGAGGAGCAAATGCAGGAGCCATTAAAAATAAACTATAACAATTAAAAAGAACTATAACAAAAACAAAGATTATTTATATTTATTTAGTACAATAATAGTTTGACTAAACTAAACTGCAGGAAGTAATCAATAGTATGTTGGTTGCTCCAATTTTTGTAAATCAGGCTTACGTCAATGTCTTTCCTATAAGCAGGAAAGAAAGAAAATTAGAATTCTGATCATATGACAAATCACTTACCCCCAATGTGTGTTACTGAGGCATAAGTGCTACTGGCTAAGATATGACCTATATACACTACAGTGGCACTTTGTAAATGAAGTATGATCAACATATCCTATTAAGGCAAATATTTAAAATCTTTTACAATATTATTAGTGTTATTTATTTTTAGGTAAAAGGAAACACATGTATTAGTTAATGAAGTGGCCTCAGGACATTGTCTAACACGCACGGTTGCTTTAACAGCATCAGTTCTTTTTATGGACCTGTCAGAAACTTTAAGTAGATACAGTGCACTGTAGAAAATGACAAGATTGAGCATGAAGATGTGTGGCTGAATCCCTGTAATTCACGTCTCAACAAACAACATAATATCATTGATTTAAAAAGGAGCAGTTTCTTAGAAAGAAAGCTTGTTATGCTGGAACTGAGTCTTTGAGTGTAATTATAGTCATGCAGCAACAGTAATCATGTCTTACACAGGAAAAAGTGTTTCATGATATAGCTGATATTTACCATAAAGGGACAGCATCAGGTAATTTACAGGCTTAACTGTTAGGTTTTGAAATATAAAAAGAGGGAGCTTAGAAAACTTAATACAAACAAAAAAAATTGCTTTGTTTTATATTTAATCATTTTTTAAAAAAGCTAAACATTCCCTTACAGTGTTGGAAATTTAAACAAAAGAACTAGTCATGAGACTAGCTAGTGCTAGTGCATGAGAACCAGAAAGTGAAAGTGAAATTGTTTCATTCTCCAAACTAAATGAAATGCTGAAAGCAAGTCAACATACTCAGTTTCAATAATTTAAGGAGGCATTAGTTGCACTCTGTAAAAGGGTAGCAGAGCTCCTGCTGTGGCCTGTGTTCCCTAGAAGCCCTGGAGGAATTAGATCCACCTCCACCCACCTCACACCCAAGCTGGGCTCTGTCTTAATTTAGCCCATTAGTTAGTTTCATTTCTTTCATTCTGTCTCTTTCTGTGAGGTGCCTTTAGGTATGTGGGATATTAGAAGAATGCAGTTGGCCTACTCGGCAAGAGTCTCATTTACAAAGTTGCCAGTAGATATACACATTTTCTCAATTCAGGCTGAAAAGGAAAAAAATCAATTTTCTTGAAATGACAGCAGTGACTATGACCTTCACATTCTGAGTAGGCATTCAGTAAAGTGAAAAAGAAAAAAGGAAAGAACAGCAGGAAAGAAATATACTTTTTTTAAAAAGCAATGCAACTGCAGGTTCTTCTAATTTATAAAATCCGACACACAATGTAGCAGATGAAAATTCAAGCAACGCAAAATAATTAACCTTATACAATACTTTCTTATTTGAACTGCTAAAAGAAAACTACAATTTTTTTATGTTTCAAAGAATCTTTCACTCTTTAAAGCAACTTGTATATATTCTTTAACATCCACATTCTACAAAGTGAAATAATATTGAAAGCTACAAATTTTCTCTTTTAAATCTCCAGGCAAGGCATCTTTAATTCAAAATAAAAGGCAAAGCCAAAAGTAATTAATTAAACACAGAACTTTAAATTCCATTTCTACTTTAAAACAGTAACAACCTCTTGTCCAATCACTGGCAACTAGCATTTGTTGTCCATTTACAGCTATGATATAAAAAAAGAAACAGGATGTTTTGATTCATAACTGGGCTATTCATTTATTTTAACGGGTTGTCAAGCGTGAAGATAAAT